TTCCCCTCTTTGCCTCCAAGGACAAAGTTCTTTGTCTCCACAGACTCCTAAGTGCACCACTCACCCTTTTCCCCTCATCAATTCTATGATTCACCTCATCTTTCATAGACCCATCCGCTGACACGTCCACTCCCAAATATCTGAATACATTCACCTCCTCCATACTCTCTCCCTCCAATCTGATATCCAATCTTTCATCACCTAATCTTTTTGTTATCCTCATAACCTTACTCTTTCCTGTATTCACTTTCAATTTCTTCTTTTGCACACCTACCAAATTCATCCATATATATATATATATATATTATATATATATATATATATATTATAATATATATATATATATATATATATATATATATATATCGTGCCAATAGGTAAAACTTGCGATTTTGGATTAAATAGCAACGGTCTTTTTGCCGTATAAGGGAAGCAAAAATTTATGTGTGAAATAATTTCGCAAAAATCATTCTGAACCTAATGAAAAATTATATTTCATTGTGTTTGGTTATTAAATTCTTGTAAACTTATCAAAAAAATATTTAGCTGGATTAGGCTAAATTAAACTGCGCTTGTTATAATAAGGTTAGATAAATTTTCTAAGGTTCTTTTGGTACAAAATTATTGGATGGCGCTAATATTATCGTGTTTTTTTTTGTTTTTGTTTATTTTACTTCGTGCCGCCTGGTGTTTTATTTATTGTGCACCTGTGTAAGTCATCCTGTGAGTGCAAAAGAACAGAAATTACAGAGGTCACAAAGGGGTTTTGTCAGATCCTTGAACACAGTTACATCCTTGAAGATTGTTCATTTATTTTATATATTACACTTTATTCACACATCTAATTTACGCAATACAACATGTAAATATAATCTCACTAGGTTACAGTCTCATTATATAACAGTTCACTCATCTAATCGATGTAAAATATCCAAACAATCTCAGGATTACAGATATGAGGCGATATATGTACCTTTTCCAGCAGGGGCAGGAGGGAGGGTTGTTCGGACTTATATCTAAATGTTTGAATGTTTGGACACTAAGCTACGATGTTCTAGGCTAGTGTGTAACTGTTTCTATCCATATATTTTACATTTCGTCACTGGCGTCTTTATGTGAATTGTATTTCCAGAGGTACCCATAGCCTCAGTTGCTACTTCCTTTCTAACAATAATTTCTAAACTTCTGCTTTAGAAAACTAAAATTATATTTCGATATTGTTTCTTTAATGCTCAAGTTTAAAGTCATCGAGTTTAGTACGCTCCATAAAATTTTAACTCTAATCCCCTTTTTCAATAATTTGTGAATATCTGTGTCTGGCTTCATGCACAAACTTGTTACATTCAGATCTCAGGATATTAAAAAGCAGTAACGAGAATAGGGATTCAGAAACCAACTGTGTAATAGTAACTTCGACAAGCTTTAATTAAAAGTAATAAATATGGCGGAGAGTTCAGACGTCAGGGTGGAAGCTTGACTGTTACATTAGCATCAGGTTGGTTTATGATAATGTACTTACCACACTCCCGCCGTCAAGGTCACCTGCTACCTGTTACCTGTAGTCGCTTCCTAAGGCCTCTTGGTTGCTGACCTGATCAATCAAGTTGTTAGTCTTCTTACCTGGAGTATCCCTGGAGGGTATTCCTGGGATCAACGCCCCCACGGCCCGGTCTACTACCAGGCCTCCCCGTGGATCATGGCTTGATAAACCAGGCTGTTATTGCTGGCCGCACATAATCCAACACACGAACCACAACCAGACTGATTCAGCACCGTTAGTTAAGACACATGTGCAACATCTGGGTATCTTTATTGTAGACGTTTCGCCATCCAGTGGCTTTATCAATACAAATTCTAGGACATAACTTGAAGACAGTAGAACTATATACAGAAGATACCCAGATGTTGCACATGTGTCTTAATTTCATCTTGTCGGTATTATATACCATTCTTACACAGCACAGTTAGTGCACCGCAACCCGGATAATCGGGAGCTAATTTGTGAAATCTGTCGAGTTCCCTTTTGTAGATAGCCAGGGGGGATCTATTGGTAATCCACCTTATGCATGAATGGAGGGTGTTGAAGAGTCATGGTGCCTTCACACTTACTGTTATCATCGCTCCCCTGCTTTTTCACCCAAAATATATTGCATCATCTGCCATGCCTCTTGTTTTCATATGTAGTGATTTCGGTGTGCAGGTTTAAGACTAAACCCTCCAGAATCTTCCATGTGTAAATTTCAGTGCATTTTTCTCGCTAAGTTAAATGAGTCATCAGCGCAGATAATCTCTGTGGCATTATTATTTATGTACAGATTGTATATATATTTCAAAACAATGAATTTAGAAGTCTGGCGAAGAAGATTGTGCATGATTAGTATCTTAGAACGGTAGATGGGCATGGTGATTTCAAAAGCAGTTATCTGCTAGTGGCGGGAAATGCTGTTGTTTCTTAACATGATACAATTCAAATAATCAAAAAAATGTGCTTAGCTGTTAATTGAATTGGAATGATCCAGAATGGTTTGCAGATTATCTGTTAGTGACATAACCAAGGATACAGTGTAACAGTAGGTCAGCAATGTCACGTCAAGTATTTGAGCTGGTATGTGCTTACAGTACTGTTGTATGTTCAAGCACATGTTGGTTGGCGCTCCACAATAAATTTTAGCCATGTATACTGTACACTAACCAAATAAGTTAATATAAAGTAAATTTTTGTATTCCCCAATAAATAGGCAAACAAGCACATATTGCTCAACTTGTAATGCAGAAGCACAATTATTAATTCTTATATCTAATTCAACACAACAAACGAGAATTTTTACGAGAGTGTTGATGGCCCTAGAGAGCGTGATGTGGGAGTCCAACCATAACAAACTGTCAAGACACCATTTGCCATCACCATAAATAAACAACTTCCTTGTTATTCAATATTAGTTTATTTTCTTACGAGTGTTCTTTTTTGGGCTGTTGCTCCTTTAAATGTTTGTTTAAAGTTACTATGAATAATCAAAGGCGGAGATGCAGCCAAGCTGCAAGCGCCCCACACGTATACAGGTGCTAGAATATCACTGCGAAAATGTTTAGATAATTGAGGTATTCAAATGAACGCAAGACGTTTGATAAATATCCAAGTGAAATCTCGGCTATTTAACAACATGTTAAGAATGATAACCATAGCATTCATTGAAAAGCTGCAACCAATATATGCATATTTGTAAATTTTGCTCTAAGCGGGCGAGTGCACTGCAAAGCAGTGCCACTCATCCTGTGAACATGTATGATCACAATACATTTCAGTACAAATAGTTGACATGTAACCTGGAGATAGCAGCTCCATGTGTTGCTGTTTCAAAATTAAGAAATTTTTTTTACAATAACCATTTGTTAACGTAACAAATTCTGCATACTTTTTGCAAAAGCTACCAGTCTTAGTTACAACGTAGCTTAGGGTGTACATACATATTTGTGGTATTAATTCTATAGTTCATTATTCATCTACGTTGTCAGTGGTGTAAGTGAATGAACGCGTCATCTTGTAACGAAGAATTGTGTCAGGTTTTTTTCCCAACGAATAAAGTAAAAACAGCGGAAATATGCTTATTATGTGCGGTATGTGGACGAGTTGCTCGTGTGGTACGCTTTCAAAGGATCACTCTAAATTCATATCAAAGGTCTCTTCTGCTCTCTCCATGTTCCACACCACGGGTGCATGGCTCTAGGCATTGTTAACCATTCTTTCCCTGGTTGTGACCCACAACAGTCCATAATACCTAGGTGAATAGGGAAAGCAGATTTTAGGAGACTTGCACATCAGTCTCGTCTTAACTGAGAATCGAACCCTGATCCTTTTCGTTTTCCACGGAAGACTCTGACCATTGAGCTATAAGTCCCTTGAAGCAGTATGACCCTTACAGGGCATGGGAGCCCACACATGAACTGCTGATTGACAAGAAGCTTCAACAAGACATCACTGATAGTGCAGTGACAAGAGTCACGCACATTACAACTCTTGCAGTAATAAAGTTGGTAGAATTACCGACAATATGTAAAGTAAAAGGACACAAGTGCAACTAATGTGACATTTATTGTGGCAACGTTTCGCTCTCCAGGAGCTTTATCAAGCCATTACAAACAATACATGGACACAGAGGGTATATAAAGGCTCAGAGTGAGGTGCAATACTAGTGAGGTAACATTTCGATGTTCACTAGTGGTAGTAGTAGTAGTAGTAGTAGTAGTAGTAGTAGTAGTAGTAGTAGTAGTAGTAGTAGTAGTAGTAGTAGTAGTAGTGGTAGTGACAAAAGTAATACAATATGATAGAGCAATCAATTCGTACAAGAGTAAAAGGATATAAAAGCTATTACCTATTTTTATGTTACCCAAGTAATAGCTTTTATATCCTTTTACTCTTGTACGAATTAATTGCTCTATCATATTGTATTACTTTTGTCACTACCACTACTACTACTACTACTACTACCACCACTAGTGAACATCGAAATGTTACCTCACTAGTATTGCACCTCACTCTGAGCCTTTATATACCCTCTGTGTCCATGTATTGTTTGTAATGGCTTGATAAAGCTCCTGGAGAGCGAAACGTTGCCACAATAAATGTCACATTAGTTGCACTTGTGTCCTTTTACTTTACAACTCTTGCAGTCATCGGGAGGAGCAGAAACCTCTAAGCAAACTGCAGGTATCCTGAAGAAGCAACGGCTTACAGAACATAAACTGCTCTTACAGGACATCCATGATCTATTATGGCATATTACAAGAACTATCCTATCTGCTCTATACAGCACATCGATTCCATTTTGTATTTGATAATAAGGGGAAACTTTTTTTTTTTTAGGAAAACTAACATGAAGGTGGTGGCAGTGCAGTGTGGCTGGCGTGTGAATAAGAATGTTGGAGGGGTTTACGAGGGAGTGGCGACGATGCTGCGAGGGTCGTTTGGGCATGTGTGGCGAGCCTGGGAAGAGTTGTGTGCCTGGGCAGGTGCCAGGGGCGAGGCAGGGTGCCACTTGGTCACCCCAGGTGCTGCCAGTGTGTCACCACAGCTCTTACCATCTCCACCAACAATAACTGTTGTAGCAACACCAAGCCACGCCCGAGAGGCTCAGTCCTCCTTCAGGTCCGCCAGTTCACTTCCTTCAGGATATCCGTGAGCAGAGCCACTGGCAGCAGTTGGTTGGCCACGTTACCAAGAACAACAGTTAGGATTTAGAGAGTGTACGGCTTGAGTGTCTTGGGAAAATGGTGATGGAGGTGTCATCCGTCGACTTCGAAGTGTTCGGCAAAGTCCAGGGTGAGTAAAGATCGCCTTTATCAACCTTCTTTAGTCTTTAAGAGTAAAAAAAAAAAATCTTTTTTTTTTTTAGATACCGTGTCTCCTCTCCATTCACGTATCATTTTCTCTGTGAAGACCACTCATAACTTACACTTACTGTTGTTAAGTCGCATCCAGGAAAGGACCTGAAAGAAATGGAAATCAACCACACTGCTTGGCTTCGTGTTCTCTTGTGTTATTAACCTTCCTCAATTACTAATCTGAATAAAGTCTTTTACTTCTCCATTCTGTGATCTACCCCTCTCCACCTGAAGTAGCCAGCAGATGGTGAAAGGTATTTGTGTGCCTAAAGGTGTTAATTAATTAATTAATTAATTAATAATAATAATAATAATAATAATAATAATAATAATTAATAATAAATCACTCGTGTTTTTCCCTCCCCACCTGTAGGTTGCCTGCATGTTTTCTCTTGCAAGAGAAACCGTGTATTACTGTCACAAACATCACTCCCCTCTTGTAAGAGAAGTATACGCATTCCCATGGGCGTATAACGCCACTCTTCATGACTCAGCTGTGTTTACTATCATATCACCAGGACTCTCTCCATCACCCCCTCCATCCCACACTCCACGGCCCAACATTTCACCCTTACGACGTATTCAAATTCTTTCACTTTGTCCACAAGCTCTACGTAGCAACAAACTTTCACTCCCCTACACTAGCATTAACCACACGTTATATCCACAGACATACCATGTTCCATAAGTGGCTCATAGCTTACGGGTAGTGCATTCGACTAACAGCCGAAGGACTCAGGTTTGATCCTGGGACGGATAAAGGGGCGGAGTGCAAATTTTTTAGAGATCCTAAAATTGAAGTCGAAAAATAATGGAAATTTTTGGTTTTCTTACCAAAAAATAGTGCAAAATCCTGGCAACATTTTGATGCAATCAGCTTGTTTCTATCATATTTCAAAGTATGTTTTTTTCAAAAATGTAATTTTTATGTGTCTGCTGTCATCAAGAGGACATGTTGGCAATTAGTATTTTTATTGTTTTTTTTACTCCAAAAATTACCATTGTTATGATTGTTTCATTCTAAATACTCAACATGGCAAGTTCTGTGAGGACTAAAGTGAAGATCACAGAGTTGTTGCTGCTCAGTTGCCTCTGGGTTATCAACAGTGATAGTGGTTTGTTACTGCTCAGTTGTCTCTGGGTTATCAACAATGATAGGGGTTTGTTGCTGCTCAGTTGTCTCTGGGTTATCAACAATGATAGGGGTTTGTTACTGCTCAGTTGTCTCTGGGTTATCAACAATGATAGTGGTTTGTTACTGCTCAGTTGCCTCTGGGTTATCAACAATGATAGGGGCTTGTTGCTGCTCAGTTGTCTCTGGGTTATCAACAATGATAGTGGTTTGTTACTGCTCAGTTGCCTCTGGGTTATCAACAATGATAGGGGTTTGTTGCTGCTCAGTTGTCTCTGGGTTATCAACAATGATAGGGGTTTGTTACTGCTGAGTTGTCTCTGGGTTATCAACAATGATAGGAGTTGGTTATTGCTCAGTTGCCTCTGGGTTATCAACAATGATAGTGGTTTGTTACTGTTCAGTTGCCTCTGGGTTATCAACAATGATAGGGATTTGTTACTGCTCAGTTGTCTCTGGGTTATCAACAATGATAGGGGTTTGTTACTGCTCAGTTGCCTCTGGGTTATCAACAATGATAGGGGTTTGTTGCTGCTCAGTTGCCTCTGGGTTATCAACAATGATAGGGGTTTGTTGCTGCTCAGTTGCCTCTGGGTTATCAACAATGATAGGGGTTTGTTACTGCTCAGTTGCCTCTGGGTTATCAACAATGATAGGGGTTTGTTACTGCTCAGTTGCCTCTGGGTTATCAACAATGATAGGGGTTTGTTACTGCTCAGTTGTCTCTGGGTTATCAACAATGATAGGGGTTTGTTACTGCTCAGTTGCCTCTGGGTTATCAACAATGATAGTGGTTTGTTACTGCTCAGTTGCCTCTGGGTTATCAACAATGATAGGGGTTTGTTACTGCTCAGTTGCCTCTGGGTTATCAACAATGATAGGGGTTTGTTACTGCTCAGTTGCCTCTGGGTTATCAACAATGATAGTGGTTTGTTACTGCTCAGTTGCCTCTGCGTTATCAACAATGATAGGGGTTTGTTACTGCTCAGTTGCCTCTGGGTTATCAACAATGATAGGGGTTTGTTACTGCTCAGTTGTCTCTGGGTTATCAACAATGATAGTGGTTTGTTACTGCTCAGTTGCCTCTGGGTTATCAACAATGATAGTGGTTTGTTACTGCTCAGTTGTCTCTGGGTTATCAACAATGATAGGGGTTTGTTACTGCTCAGTTGTCTCTGGGTTATCAACAATGATAGGGGTTTGTTACTGCTCAGTTGTCTCTGGGTTATCAACAATGATAGGGGTTTGTTACTGCTCAGTTGCCTCTGGGTTATCAACAATGATAGGGGTTTGTTGCTGCTCAGTTGCCTCTGGGTTATCAACAATGATAGGGGTTTGTTACTGCTCAGTTGCCTCTGGGTTATCAACAATGATAGAGGTTTGTTACTGCTCAGTTGCCTCTGGGTTATCAACAATGATAGGGGTTTGTTACTGCTCAGTTGCCTCTGGGTTATCAACAATGATAGTGGTTTGTTACTGCTCAGTTGCCTCTGGGTTATCAACAATGATAGGGGTTTGTTACTGCTCAGTTGTCTCTGGGTTATCAACAATGATAGGGGTTTGTTACTGCTCAGTTGTCTCTGGGTTATCAATAATGATAGTGGTTTGTTACTGCTCAGTTGCCTCTGGGTTATCAATAATGATAGTGGTTTGTTACTGCTCAGTTGCCTCTGGGTTATCAATAATGATAGGGGTTTGTTACTGCTCAGTTGCCTCTGGGTTATCAATAATGATAGGGGTTTGTTACTGCTCAGTTGCCTCTGGGTTATCAATAATGATAGTGGTTTGTTACTGCTCAGTTGCCTCTGGGTTATCAATAATGATAGTGGTTTGTTACTGCTCAGTTGCCTCTGGGTTATCAATAATGATAGTGGTTTGTTACTGCTCAGTTGCCTCTGGGTTATCAATAATGATAGTGGTTTGTTACTGATCAGTTGCCTCTGGGTTATCAACAATGATAGGGGTTTGTTACTGCTCAGTTGCCTCTGGGTTATCAATAATGATAGGGGTTTGTTACTGCTCAGTTGCCTCTGGGTTATCAATAATGATAGTGGTTTGTTACTGCTCAGTTGCCTCTGGGTTATCAATAATGATAGTGGTTTGTTACTGCTCAGTTGTCTCTGGGTTATCAATAATGATAGTGGTTTGTTACTGCTCAGTTGTCTCTGGGTTATCAATAATGATAGTGGTTTGTTACTGCTCAGTTGTCTCTGGGTTATCAATAATGATAGTGGTTTGTTACTGCTCAGTTGCCTCTGGGTTGTCAACAATGATAGTGGTTTGTTGCTGCTCAGTTGCCTCTGGGTTATCAACAATGATAGTGGTTTGTTACTGCTCAGTTGCCTCTGGGTTGTCAACAATGATAGGGGTTTGTTGCTGCTCAGTTGTCTCTGGGTTATCAACAATGATAGTGGTTTGTTACTGCTCAGTTGCCTCTGGGTTGTCAACAATGATAGTGGTTTGTTACTGCTCAGTTGCCTCTGGGTTGTCAACAATGATAGGGGTTTGTTGCTGCTCAGTTGTCTCTGGGTTATCAATAATGATAGTGGTTTGTTACTGCTCAGTTGCCTCTGGGTTGTCAACAATGATAGTGGTTTGTTACTGCTCAGTTGCCTCTGGGTTGTCAACAATGATAGGGGTTTGTTACTGCTCAGTTGCCTCTGGGTTATCAACAATGATAGGGGTTTGCAACACGCTCAAATTTGGTGTTTCATCTCCATAGAGTTTCATAGAAAAAAATATGAATAACTCAGGAATAAGTTATTGACATTTGTTTTATTTTTTTGCAAAGAGTAATAATAGGAGTGTCATGATTTTTTTCACACAATATTGATGAATGATGGTTCTATTAATATTCAGAGATGTTTTGCAATATGCTTTCCCATTTTGTTTTCATTGACTCTCCATACCACCGGCGGGATTGAACCCGCGGTCAGTCTCAAAACTCCAGACCGTCGCGTTAGCCACTGGACCAGCTAGCCACGGTCTGGAGTTTTGAGACTCTCTGACCGCGGGTTCAATCCCGCCGGTGGTATGGTTTGTTTGCAATCGTGTCATTACGATTTCGTGAGTCTTATTGACTCTCATTCTCCGAAAAAACGCAAAAAAAAAAAAACACAAATTTCAATTTTTTTTATAATGGAATCTATTGACATTTCTCGCAAAAAAGTTTGAAATTTAGATAATCTAATTCTTTATCTTTCATCTGATGTTGACTAGAACATTGTACATGTTACCAATTTTGTAGGCCAGGGAGGGTTTCATGATAAATACAATTTTGCAATATCTTCCAATTTTGCAACAAGAAATCCATGCACAAAAGTGTGTAGGATGCAAACTCCTTTTTAATAACAGCATAAAGTTACATTTGAAAGTGGACCAAAAACAAAAATAACCCCCAAAAAATGTCCCTCCAATGCGTTAGGTATATTTCCTTAAATCTGTTGTTCCTGTTTATCTCCCAGCAAGTAGGTACTTGTGGGTCGCATCCTAGAAATAGGATTAAAGGATCACAATGAAAATAAGTCAGACTGACCTGAGTTATCCTGGATTACTAACCCACATGTAATATTCATAACCTCACCATGTTCCCACAGTCTTTTGATTTTCATCGTTTTACATGCCCCGTTCTTAGCTGTGTCTGTTGTGTTTTAGTCGAGGTACACATAGACATATCCTACAGTTTGCTTGATGCCCAGTGATCCTGTCACGTCATAAGTGAAACACAAACACCAGTTTGTCTGGGTGGCACCTGCACGCTCTAGAAATAAGTCACCTGCCTTATTTCTTCATTATTAGTGATCTCT